TAACTGAGACTAATAAGTCAAACATACTAAAAAACAAACAAGATCTCAGTGTACACTCAACTGCCATGTCAATACATTACCATCGCCTTTACAGTAGAGTACAGTACAGTTAAATAACAACTTAGTGACTTAGTTATTTTACAAGCAGCAAAGGGAAAACTCCTCGTATTAATTAGTGATTANTACCAAATCACAAAAAACATTGGAAAAGACAGGTTCAGACATTAAAAGCAATAATTTACTTTGTTTTATACCTCAATTAATTGAACACATCTTTCAAAAGTTTGCCAGACACTGTCTGATACTTGACCCATCATAACCTGACATGAGAGTTTTGATAGCACATTGTCGTGCTATCAGCGTGGGAACTCGATCAGACCAATTGTTTCCAGAGTACAGTACAGTTAAATAACAACTTAGTGACTTAGTTATTTTACAAGCAGCAAAGGGAAAACTCCTAGTATTAATTGGTGATTAATGACTTTAATGCATTCAACTACATCAATTAAACCATACGTTCCCCCAATAGATTCTATATGATATACTGTAAGTACAGTCTTTTAAAGAGTGCAGCAGCACATTTGGTCTCAGTTCACATATCACTAACATGACAAGCTGCAAACAGCACAGAGTCAAAGGCTCAAGGCTCGAGGCAAAGGCAAGAGACAGCTCTCATGCGTGATTAATAAGTCATGAGTAAAGACACAAGAAGTGAGATAGCATGGCTCTGGGTTTAAGAAAAACATCCACTTTCACTAATTGTGACATTCTCCATCCTGTCGCTGTCCCTCACCTCCGGATAGGCAGAGCAAATGAAAAGAGCAGAGCCGTTGTTGGGAAAGAGAGAGACACTGTGGCACTACTGCGTAACCACGATGGCTTCATGAAGAGCAAAGGGCTTTAAGATAGTGGCAATCAAGAGAAAACAAGCACCACACCAAAGGCTATGTCTACAACTAGTTACAAGACAAGATGCATCAGTGTGTGATGGATTGTCATGAGTTCGCTGTATGGTGAGAAATCAAACCACGACTCAGCTATCTAAAACTGTTTGGGTAGGAGCCCTTCATGGACTAAAAGGTTACATGCTAAAGTCCAACAAGAACTTAATGACGTTATTTCAATGACATATCGCGTTGGACTTATTCCTTAGTTTGAGTGTTTAACAAGAAAGCGCCTTCAAATTTGTTTGTGATTCTTACAAAGTTCTGCAATGTTTGGAATAACAGAAACCGTTTTATAGATTGACAAATTGCTCAATTACTAACAAATTTCCTGAGGGGAACCCTGTGGTTGTGGACCTTTCCCACACACCAACATGCAGCTCACACACCGCAAAGACACTCCGAAATGAGACAAACTATACGCTAAGACTTGTCTATACAGGTATAGAGGGGTTAGGGGGAGGTGTTGATTCAATTCAAGCAGCAGAACTGTATCATTTTCACAAAGTATGCATTAATTGCGAGGCGTTTAGACTGAGTAGCAGTAGGCCTACACCATGCAGGTGTTTTTATTGTATCCATTCTCTCTTGATTCTGTACGCTGTAAGCACTACTTTAGTACAAAGAAAGCTACTGGCACATTTTGGAGATTAAGACACAAACGAGTACAACCCATAAATCTCATCATGATTGCTTTTGGCGGAGGCATTGTTGTCAAAACAATGTCCAAACATGTGCTGGAAGCCAGCGCCTCCGTCTCACAAAATTCCTCAGATAATCATCCCATTTTTTCTCTCACGAACACTTCCCCGCGATCTGTGTCGATTTCAGCCAGCGCTGTGATGAGAAGCTTCCCCTTTCATTCACGTTCCTCTCCGCCTCTCATTCTCCATGTCTGAAGCAGTGTTTAAATGTGAATGAGTTTGTATCTCCGACATCATTCATCCTCTTACCTCTCACTCGTGCGAGAGGTAAGAGACTCTTTTGATCTTTTCAAAGCCAGGAGTGGAGATTCAGGCTCTGATTCCTCTCAGCACAGCACGGCGCTTTGCTAAGTCAATAGCGGCTAATGAGGGCCTCGGCAAGCAGAAACCACAATGCAAATTGAATAAACTGAGATAAGGATTCTTGTAACATCCAAAAGCCATGCCATGGTAATGACTGACATCATGAAGCGATATTGTTTGCCAGTGAAAAAGCTTTTGTTCGTGTCGCTGATAGAAAGGTGACGGGTTCGTGTTGTGAAATCCCAGACCTTCTTTAGGGAGAAGCGATCCCATTTTTCTTTTTGTTTCTTTTTTCCTTCTTTTGCAAATATGTTCTATGATAACCATTATGGATAAGTGCTATTCTCAAACCACAGGTGTCAAACGGCAATAAAATATTTGATGAATTGCCCGAGCCAGGTGTTGTGCTGGTGGGGCGGAATTCCTCGGTGATTTATCATCGCAGCTTTTGTCTGACACTGACAGGCAGCATATAGGAGGATTTGAGCTTCAACTTTAATCAACGCATCGTGTTATTTTATTGCAAAACTCATTAAAACAAATGTTGAAATAAACCTGTGATGTGAGCTGTCGAATGCATGTTGGAACTCCTCCAACTTACATCTGTCATAATTCAGATTTTATGGGTCTTTTGGGGAATATTTTCTATATTAGGTTCATTTTCAGATTCATATTTGTATTTAGCCCAGTCTGCTCTGATTGGTTAGCTGGCCGGCTCTGTTGTGATTGGGCAACCACTTAGAAATGTCCCGCCCCTTAGCCTATCACCCATTACATTACATGTTACTTGTTAGACCTTTTATCCAAAGCGACTCACATACTCAATACTGTGGGCAATCCCCACTGCGCCACACGCCTCCTATGTGTTGGAGCGCTAGCCAATAGAAGCGTGAGTGCTACATAGTGATGTCACTATGTCACCGAAGTAAGGAGTTCAATGGATCTTCTTTGGGAACTATGGGATTTTAGGCTTTGCAGACCATTGACATGCACACAAACCTACATAACTCACTACAGGGAAGGAGAAACCCCCAAAAGCATAATCGTGCCTCTTAAAGCTTTTACTGCAACAAAGGGCAGCTGATTATTGGTTTGTTGTAAAATAACCAATGTCAGGAATGGTATGAGTCAAAATATGATTTCAGTTTCTTATATTGTTAGTTTTTGCACTTTCGAGAGATCACACCGTGTTATTCCTCTCTTTGATTTCCTGTTGTTGCCATCGTGGCAGCCGTCATTTCTCATTCAAAACAGCTACTTCTTCTCTTTTGTGCTGCAATAAATCCACCAGACAGTCTGCAGGTTGCGTAACAGCCTTGGCATCTCTAACACATACACAAATGATCAAAACGTTTCATGCACCATGTATGGATTAAACCACAATTGTGTAGTTGAGTTGGCGGTGGCTGTGGAGCATTCTTTTTTTTACATACTTGAACTTGGGGCGAGGTTAGAACAAGTAGGAGTTTCATTTAGTTTGCCAATGTTTCTTATCTGTAATGTTTTTTCTATGTATCTACTCACTTTTGTACAATAGTCTTGGGTTATGGTCTGCTGGTTACACCCTCAGGTTTAGACGTGTACTTTCTCAGTGTTCAGACCCTCATGTCTTTGTTCCTGCTGCTGCTCTGAAACTCAGTTTCTGCTGAAGTTGTTTATTTGGTTGTGAAACACTCGAGTTATCAGCTATTGAAGAGGCACTTCTTCAGTTTGCTTTGTTGGCCTTTACTCCAACTCCAAAATTATGCAACCACTTTATGAAAAGATAACAAGTGAACGAAAACAGGCATAGTTTTCCTGGGTTCTCTAAAACAGTTTTTGAAGTGATTGAAGGTAAAACTAAATCATATATCACACGTAAATAGTGTCACACCCACTAACCATCCACACCCTTTGCACAACGTATACATCAAACAGACTGAGAAGAAGAAAGAAATAAGAGAGAGAGTGATGGAAAATAAAAGAATAATACAAAAATATAAAGGGAAACGATTTAATTAACCAAAAGAGTGACAGTTATGAAGAAAGAGACCAAGATTCAGAAATACTGCTGACAATAACCTTTTTTTTTTTTTTAAATGTAGCCAAGAAAATGAAAAAAGGCATTATTTCCTTTCTTTTCTAAGATTTTCCAGTGTGTTAACGCAGGTGGAAATAATGCATATGACACACAAATAGCATCACGCCCACTAACCCTTCACACCCTTTTTCTCCACTTGTACTGTATGTCAAACAGACTTAAGACTATGCACAGAAAGAAGAATTACAAAAGTAAAAAAAGTTAGGGCCAAATTAAGAAATATTGCTTAGAAAATCACTCACAAAAAGCTTAAAGGTGGGGTGGGTAAGTTTGAGAAACCGGCTCGAGATACACTTGTTGTTATATTCCATGGAATGCTCTTAACATCCTGATAACAATGAATATCTGAAGTGCTTTGACAAAAAATCCATAAAAAATGTCATCTGTGGAAGCCGTGGCGCTGTAAAAAGCACGACCAATCATCTGAGCCGGCCCGGCTAAAGTAACTGGATGGCCTACCTGCCTGTCAGCCTTCCATCTGTGCACAAACTTATCTCGCGCCCTCATTGGTCATGTGCGCGTTCGTGTGTGTTGGAGGAGGGGCTCTGTAAGGAAGTAGCGGTTGTGTATTTTCAAATTCTAGCGCACTCGAGCTGGTTCTAACCTACCCCACCTTTAACATGGCCGTGAAAGTCAATAAAAAAGGCATTATGTATTTCGTTTTCAAAGTTGTTGAGTTAACAAGAGGATGCAGATCAAAACAAACCACATATCACATGTAGAAAAGTCCATAAACCCTTCACACCCTTTTACCCCGATGAGATATCAACACGTTTCTGCTCTTATCTCCACTCCTTTTGTTGAGGGAATACATTACTCACCCTTTTTTAAACACACTATCATTTAAAATTTGGTGCAGCCCAATTAAAATCAAACATGTTCTCACTCCCTTAGCAGTGGCCGTTTCCAGATGTAGGGTTTGTTAGTATAATGTAGCTGATTCTCAGAGACCAGGTGTGTTCCTCTTACCTGCAGTTGTAATGGGCTGAGTCCAGATGCCGCTGCAGCTGCCATAGTAGATGGAATGAACTGCATGGGGTAATTCTCACCTGTTGAACAACCAAAACAAAACATTTTGTAGAGCGAGAAGGGAGGAGGGGGGGGGAGGCAGATACAGTATACCTCACAAGAGCTAACCTGATCTTTACCTTCGACCAAACTCTGTCTGTCTCTTTCTGTCTTTCCTGTCTTTTGTCTCGTCCTCTCTCTTTTTCTTGTGCTCATGTTTTTATTCATGCCAAATGAGTCACGAAGTGTTTTATTCAGAGGTTAATGACGCTCATTGTCGGTACACACGGGTGCTCGAGACACAGAGTTCAAGTCCAGTGCTCCCTCATCGGGATGCACTCATGGATGCATATACAAGCACTGCGTATAACCCCTACTGTTCGCCCCTAAAAGGCTTTCCATGTCCGAGCCTTTGTTGCAAACAGACCCAAGTAGAAGGAGAGCGAAGAATAATGGCTTTTTAATCAATTTCTTCATTTCTGTTTACGGCCTCATGGGAGAAAATGCTCACGCAGTATAAGCATAAACATGGATTATTGTATGGAGGCATGGCGGTGTCAGAAGAAAGGAACGTGTGAAGGACGAGGCGAAAGGAAAGAAAGCAAGTGGTGCTGCGAAGCCTTCAATATAAGACTTTTTTACCTGAAGTTTGTTTCTGTGAGACTGTGAGCTGTGTTTTGTTGCGCCTGTTTATACAAAATCCTTGTGGACTTCTGAACACACGCAGCATGCATTCAGTCCTTTAAGTGTGTTCTTGTGTCAAGGAATGCATGTGTTTTGTCTGTCTGCATCAACCATAAGCGTACATTGTTGGGTCGGTGGGTACCAGGAGAACATGTTGAAGAGTGTGTGTGTTGATGTGGTGTGTGTGAGAAAGTGTGAAATTTCATGTTGCAGATGTGTTGAGCAACTGACATGCTTTCAGCACGCCATAAAAGAGACATTCCAGTCCTCGCTGTGTCCAATGTATTGTTCCTGACGTGAACGAGCAGAGCTTGTAAATCTCTCCGCTCATTTCCAGAACATTCCTCACCTGACACACCTCATTAACATAGACTGGGATCCCAGTGTGTGTGTGTGTGTGCGTGTGCGTGTGCGTGTGCGTGTGCGTGTGCGTGTGTGTGTGTGTGAGAAAGAGAGAGAAATAGAGACTTGCTGTCCCTTTTGTAGTTTACGAGAACTGTCAGAGACGTAGGGCTTTTGTTTGAGGGGGGGGACTGTTTATCAAGAAAACATATATTTCCTTAACACTCGACAGCGCGTAATCCATCTTGGGCAATTGTTCAGTGTGTGTGTGTGTGTGTGTGTGTGTGTGTGTGTGTGTGTGTGTGTGTGTGTGTGTGTGTGTGTGTGTGTGTGTGTGTGTGTGTGTGTGTGTGTGTGTGTGTGTGTGTGTATACCTGGCTTGTAGGACATGCTCGGGGGGAAGAGGAAGCCCTGCTGTGCGGCAGCGGCAGCAGCCAGAGAGCGCTGGTCGTGAGGAAACACCGGGATCATCAGAGGAGGCATGTGACCCTGGACCTGAGAGGGAGAGAGAGAAATGTTTCAAGTATTTACACAAAACATGTCAAAAGAGGACAAGGTAAATAAAATTAACTTTACACACACACAACAACTCCGACACAAATGCTGAAAACAATGGGAGAAAAATGGAAAGTAAAGACAGATAGATAGATAGATAGATAGATAGATAGATAGATAGATAGATAGATAGATAGATAGATAGATAGATAGATAGATAGATAGATAGATAGATAGATA